GAACACTGGTGTCATGTGTGTTACCCTGATGGTGTTTGGTGTTTGTAACACTGTCTCTGTCAGTAGTTTATAATACAGATACATAAAATATTATAGAAGTGTAAAAGTTTTTTTTTTTTTTTTTTACAATTCCAGGTTAGGTATTGGAACAAATCCCTAACCAAGAAGTATCAAACATTTGTGAGTTATAACCTCTTACATGTTTGTTGAACCAGCTATTAACTCCCTAAAACGACAGCATAATGCACCCTGTGTCATGACCATGGAGTAGTGAATAGTTAGAATAGTGGCCTTGAGTGTGCATTCAAGAACATTTACAATTAGAAGGTCAGACTAATGGAATACAGATGAGCTGGATTCATATGAAGTTTTTTAGTATATTGTACAATTTTAAACTGTCTGAGATCGTTCCAATTTATGAATGTTTTTTAAAGAGTGAAAGGGAGGACAGCAAGAAATGAAACAGAGAGTGAAGAGAAGACAGAAAGGAAAGAAAAAGGACCGAGCTGGAAGAGAAGCTGAGGAAGATGAAAGAGTTGGATGCAGGGGGTGGGCAGGAGGAAAAGAGGGGGAACAGGAGAAGGGGGGTCGGATGACTTAATCAGTGCACGCTGCCACTCCAAAAACTCCCCACCCTCTCTCTCTCTCTCTCTCTCCCTCTCCCTCTCTCTCAGTTCAATAAACACACACGGATACACAGTGATTGAATCTGTGTCAGTATGAAGTCAGATCCTCCTCCCTCCCTTTCCCCCTGCACTACAGCAACCTTCATATCCAGTCCCTGTACATGTGTGTGCGTGCGGCTCTCTCAACCATTCCTCCCTGACATTCCACAGCAGATGTGGGATTGACTGCTGGGATACAGAAACAAAGACAGTCACAGGAATATTCTTTGGATCTGTGCAGTTCACTCTGGACCAAACATTCAGTGCTTTTCTTCTTTCAAGCATTTGGCTGAATCTTCTGTTGGAAAACAGCATCATTATACGGACTCTGCTACTAAGACATCCAATTGTTTGGGGATTCTGGACTTTGGGGACTGAACAACCCCAGGCAGGGTACACTAGAACATCCTAAACAAAAGGGTGAGTAGAAAGTTGACATGCTAAAACAGAGTGAAATCTATAAACGGCACCAGCATCAGGTGCAGTGCTTTGTCTTCTGTGCTGTGATGACTGACAGGAGTGCAGTGGGATTGATGGGGACTTTCCAGAGAGGTGATTTAAGGATGTTTTAGTATGACATAAAAAGACAAATGGGATTTTAGTGGACAGTTTGACCGTATTTACCTGACGGACATTAAATATGGCTTTGCACATCCTTTAAAATGACTATAATTATAATGTAGTAGGAAAGGGGTGAGTCACACTTGACCTCAGTTTCTGCAAATATTACTGTGTCGCTGTGTCTCAAGGGTGGAAATTAATAGGAAGATTTTCCTAGAAAGCTTTTTGAGGAAGCAGGAGGTGTGTTTGTGTTCAACAAACTGAGGTACAAGTTGAAATCATTTTTGGTGGCAGTCGACAATATGCCACAGATGCTGATGGATGGTGGAATATAAAGAGGGACTGACATACATTACTAGACAGTGTTATTTTAATATCACTGATACACTATTACAGTTTTAGTTAATATTCTCATTTTAAATATTTTATCATTTGAATATTTACGTTTTAGCAATTTGTTGCTTTTAATATAGTTTTAGTTTATAGTTTTACTTTATTTAGTTTTAGTACTTAAACTAAAAAAAAAAATGTGTATTTTGTTTTATTGTAATGAACATGCTTTTGTTGTTTAATTTTACTTAACGATAATAACTCTGACTAGACAGCATTTTACAGTGACTGGGATATGGATTGTAAATATTATGTTTTGTATATACTTTGTTCAAAAGACTCAGACTCAGTGCCAGAAAGCCTCTTTGATGTCGTTTGTGATCTATATTAAGTTTGTCTGAAACCATATGGAGAGGCAGTGATAATTCATTATCATCTGAAATCAATCAGGTTCAATGGGCTTGTATCATTTTAAAGTTTTCACTTTTTCAATTTGCAAATGTGTTTATATTTCTACCTTTTCTGCCAAAGCCACTAAATATTCTTTGTAGCAGAAAGTGAAGTGCTATGAAGTGCTCAAAATGTGGTACCATTTTCTTTGTTGCACTAGTGCAAGAACAGTGCAGATAGCATCTGGAGAGTATATTTCAGTCAGATCCATTTACTAAACAAGCATTGTGGGAGGCCCCTTACCTCTCCCTCTCCACCTTTTATGCTTTTCCAAACCATTTTTCTCTTCTGAGCAACATACACGCACACACACACACACACACACACACACACACACACTGTCGAGGGAATGTTGCTTCCCTCTTACCCTGCATCTACAAGCACTGAAAAGGTTTGAAATGAACAGTGGAAGAAAAAGAAAATGGGAAAGAGTCCAAAGAAAAGATTATGGCAAGAGAGATGGGGAAAATAGGGGGAATGGAACACTTTGGGGGGTTGGGGGGCATGAGGTTGAATTTCAGAAAGTACCACATTTTCCCTTCTGTGTTCATCAGATAAAAGAAATAACTGTAAATCCGATATTTTGTAACTTAGCACAGAATTAAAGTACTTGTATTATATCAGACTATAGTTTAACTTAACACATTTCAGTGTTTATTGTGCTTCTCTCCAGTTTCAGATCATTTGGTCAGGAAAACAGAGCCCAACAAGAGCTTTGGGAAACTTTAAATCTAGTGAGACGGCATGACTAATACACCCACCAGCATCATGTCATGATTTTGTTGTTGCAGCTGGGACAACCTATTATGATGTTTGAGAAAGAGAAAACATACATAAAAAAACAATGAAAACAACAAACAATAAAAATGTTAAATTGAGATTTGTAGTCAAATATGTTATCGTATTTATTCTGTATGTGTAATATGTCTGTTCTGTTCTGTAAGTCTTTTCAATTTAGTTCAAAACGTGCACATTCTTACAGGTGCATCTCAATAAATTAGAATGTCGTGGAAAAGTTGCTGCGTAAACATAAAACCATTTCTGCATTTCTACACTGCTCAAAACTCGCGTTTGAATCATCCATGGCAAATTCTTTAAATATGAAAACGTATTTACAGACTGTGAGTCAGAACAGCCGGCATTGTAGTCTACTCTACCAGGATCAGGAAACAGTCCTCCATAAAGCGATGCCATAGAAGAACCATTTTTGGTTCCACAAAGAACCATTCAGTCAAAGGTTCTTTAAAGAACCATCTCTTGCTTATCTTTTTATAATCTGAAGAACCTTCTTTCACCACAAAGAACCATTTGTGAAACAGAAAGGTTCTTCAGATGTTAAAAGTTCTTTATGGAACCATTTAGACAAAAAGGTTCTTCTATGGCATCGTGAAGCACCTTTATTTTTAAGAGTGTAGTCTACTCTCGCAGGATCAGGAAACAGTCCTCCATAAAATGTGCTGCACACATCTGAATATTTAGGTTGAACAGGAACAGTGTTGTAAATACAACTTAACCATTGATTTCTAGTCGTGTCCTCTTTTGGAAGGCCAAACATATTTTCACTTTTGCAACGAAACACACAGCGTCTTCACAACATGGCAGCGGTGGTGGCAGCAACAATAAAGTTATGCCTTCTTTCTTTGCGTGAACATTTGCGCAGCGTTATGCAAATCTTCCCACATCGTGACGTAGACATGTGTTTAAACAGGCGCTTTAGTTTTTTCTATTTTTCTATGCATTTGTGTGAACGAACCCTCCAACCATTCACACAGAACACCATTTTGCATCTCAGTTCCATCCTTTTACACTTTTACATTCTTGCACTTGTGTATTTTGAAGTGTTTTGTATACAACAGTTGAAGTTGAAGTTAAAAAACTTTAAAAAATGTGTTTAGCTTTAAAAAAGACCTCGCTTTTTTTCCCATTCCAATGTCACCTTATTTTTTGTGTTCCACAGTGCTACTTAATCCATTGTTTTATGATGTAAACATGCAGTAGACATGTTTGACCATCTTTTGCAGCTTCTTGTGCATTTCTTTTCTTCATTACACTGCCCTGCATCTCACATTTTTAAACACAAATCAGTACAAATCGGTTTTACATGACTGAAAAAATAGTGATATGACCATGACCTGAAAATTATACATGATACACTCCACTCTGAGGTGTTTGGTAAATGTAACACTCAGGTCAGGGAAATGATCTAGAGATAAGAGAAAAGAGGGAGAAGGGGTCATACTCTTCATACCAGGGAGAACTTTTTGTAAAGCCACCCCTTTGAAAGAGTGATAAGGCAATAGATTTATTTTCTTTCTGTATGTCTTGTTTTTCTTTCTTTCCCTCTGTAGCGTACAGAGGTTAGACCGCGTGTGGCTCGTCCATTTTCTGTGGTTGTTGCTATAGATTTTGGCACCACCTCCAGTGGCTATGCATTCAGTTTCACAGAAGATCCTGAGACCATTCACATGATGAGGTATTTATGACATCGGCACAAAAACATTGTCTAACCTGAAATTATTATAACTCCCCAATCCACTTCTTACCCTACATTTCTCCTTACTTTTTATTATTTAACAGACGGTGGGAGGGTGGCGACCCTGGTGTAGCCAATCAGAAGAGTCCAACTTGCCTACTGCTGACCCCTGACCTCCGGTTCCACAGTTTTGGCTTTGCAGCTCGAGACAGCTATCATGACCTTGACCCTGAGGAAGCCAGGCATTGGCTCTACTTTGACAAATTCAAAATGAAAATCCACAGCACCAGTGTAAGCAGAGCATCTATCATATCTTGACTATGTTTTTGATGTATATTTTTCTTCAGGTAGAGTAATTGCTCAGCTTGGGGGAATCAAGCATGTTTGTTAAGGTATCACAACACTGTCAAACATATATATACTGTCAGTCTGCAGCAGAGGATAAGGGAAGTGTATTATTTATGTCACATCTCGGTAAGCATTTCTGCAGCAGACTATTTTATTTTCAATAGGATCTCACTATGGAGACCGAGCTGGAGTCTGTTAGTGGAAGAAGAGTTCGGGCTATTGAGGTGTTTGCTTACGCCTTGAGGTTCTTCAGAGAACATGCTTTAAAGGTGAACATAAACACACAAAACAGAAAAAAACATTTTTAAACATATCTACTCATGCAGTATACAGACACACACATATCAATAAGACAATACATTTATATTTTATAATTATTTACCTTACATATATTTAATATTAGCTAGTTAACAATAGCACAAGTCAAGCACACCACCATGTACTGAAGTATTTTGCAAAGAGACTACCATTGTGATGAAGAGTGCACAGTCATTACTTTATAAATTAAACAACTTAGAGTCTTAATGGTGTTTGGCCAATCACCATCCTAACCACAGGCTCTACTCTTCAGCACAATGGTAACCCCAAAAACTCAGACATACCAGAAACCCTTTTAAATTCCAAAATAATCTAACATTAAACACTAATAGAACTCCCCCTATAATAATATTGAGCAAAAACACATGAAATAACATACTCTCCTTTACTCTCCTTTAATAGTCAGAAACAAAGCATGCTGGGAACTAGAAATCTGCTATAACTCATTCACTTCAAGAAACCTACCTGCAAAGTTACAATAACGTAAAAAGTTTTAGGCACTTGTGTAAAAATGCTGTAAAGTGAGGATGCTTTCAAAAATAAATGTTCTGTTTACCCTGGGGGGTTACTGCTAGGCTGCATTGATGCACAGGGAGTTCTTGCCCAGAACAGAACCATACCGGCAATACAAACTGTATGCTAATTGTCAATCATCTTTGACATAGTGGTCCTGACAGAAATATATATATATATATATTACTATATTAAATATAGTCTTTTGCTTAACAAGCTAGTAACCCTACACAGGACTAAAAGTTTGCAGAATAAATTGATATTAATTACATAATTTCTAATATATATAAAAAGTATTTTCAGATACAATTTCTTTGTACTTGTACTTGATTACTCAAGAATTATTTGAACATTTGTGAAACATTTTTAAAGTCTGTTTGTCTTGGTTATTCCTTTATTTATTTAGGCATTTGTTGCCTATTTTAGTTGTGCAACTTAAATTTCCCTCCAGGGCCAGACTGAACATGAACAACCACTATAATGCAGAGCAGTAGTGTGCTGTGGCTTTCCTTCACTCAAACAAGAACACATCCAGTCTAGGTGAAGAGTGGGGGTTTGGGGAGGTGGAGGTTCTGGGCCAATCTGTAGTCAGACTTTCCTGGACCCAAACCTTCTTCCTCCTTCTTCCTGGAGCCCCTGAAGGCTTGTGGGAAAACATTAACATGGAGATTTCGCCCCCAACCTCTGGTCATGGATGAGGGTCATGAATTTGACATATTTTTTAGAGCGGAGAGTGTAGTCTACTCTCGCAGGATCAGGAAACAGTCCTCCATAAAATGTGCTGCACACATCTGAATATTTGGGTTGAACAGGAACAGTGTTGTAAATACAACTTAACCATTGATTTCTAGTCGTGTCCTCTTTTGGAAGGCCAAACATATTTTCACTTTTGCAACGAAACACACAGCGTCTTCACAACATGGCAGCGGTGGTGGCAGCAACAATAAAGTTATGCCTTCTTTCTTTGCGTGAACATTTGCGCAGCGTTATGCAAATCTTCCCACATCGTGACGTAGACATGTGTTTAAACGAGGCGTTTTAGTTTTTTCTATGCACATTTGCATTTGTGTGAACGAACCCTCCAACCATTCACACAGAACACCATTTTGCATCTCAGTTCCATCCTTTTACATTGTTACATTCTTGCACTTGTGTATTTTGAAGTGTTTTGTATACAACAGTTGAAGTTGAAGTTAAAAAACTTTAAAAAATGTGTTTAGCTTTAAAAAAGACCTCGCTTTTTTTCCCATTCCAATGTCACCTTATTTTTTGTGTTCCACAGTGCTACTTAATCCATTGTTTTATGATGTAAACATGCAGTAGACATGTTTGACCATCTTTTGCAGCTTCTTGTGCATTTCTTTTCTTCATTACACTGCCCTGCATCTCACATTTTTAAACACAAATCAGTACAAATCGGTTTTACATGACTGAAAAAATAGTGATATGACCATGACCTGAAAATTATACATGATACACTCCACTCTGAGGTGTTTGGTAAATGTAACACTCAGGTCAGGGAAATGATCTAGAGATAAGAGAAAAGAGGGAGAAGGGGTCATACTCTTCATACCAGGGAGAACTTTTTGTAAAGCCACCCCTTTGAAAGAGTGATAAGGCAATAGATTTATTTTCTTTCTGTATGTCTTGTTTTTCTTTCTTTCCCTCTGTAGCGTACAGAGGTTAGACCGCGTGTGGCTCGTCCATTTTCTGTGGTTGTTGCTATAGATTTTGGCACCACCTCCAGTGGCTATGCATTCAGTTTCACAGAAGATCCTGAGACCATTCACATGATGAGGTATTTATGACATCGGCACAAAAACATTGTCTAACCTGAAATTATTATAACTCCCCAATCCACTTCTTACCCTACATTTCTCCTTACTTTTTATTATTTAACAGACGGTGGGAGGGTGGCGACCCTGGTGTAGCCAATCAGAAGAGTCCAACTTGCCTACTGCTGACCCCTGACCTCCGGTTCCACAGTTTTGGCTTTGCAGCTCGAGACAGCTATCATGACCTTGACCCTGAGGAAGCCAGGCATTGGCTCTACTTTGACAAATTCAAAATGAAAATCCACAGCACCAGTGTAAGCAGAGCATCTATCATATCTTGACTATGTTTTTGATGTATATTTTTCTTCAGGTAGAGTAATTGCTCAGCTTAGGGGATCAAGCTTTTGTCATAAGGTATCACACCACTGTCAAAAAATGCATCTATTTGTCTGAAGCAGAGCATAAGGGGAGTGTGTTATTTATGTCACATCTTTGTAAGAATTTCTGCAGCAGACTCTCTTTCTTTCTATAGGATCTCACTATGGAGACCGAGCTGGAGTCTGTTAGTGGAAGAAGAGTCTGGGCTATTGAGGTGTTTGCTCACGCCTTGAGGTTCTTCAGAGAACATGCTTTAAAGGTGAGCATAAACACACAAAACAGAGGCAAAGTAGTACAAAGACAGTCAACTAAACAAGTTCTCAACAAAAGTTCAGGAGGATACGTTCAACCCCTAAAGGAGCCAAATACACTATATTAGGATTCATATATCGAAAGGGTATTAATGCTTTATGAGGGTACTGCCCCAGTGACAAGTGGTTGCACCCCAAAAGGTACTATTTTTTGTAAGATTGTAGGGTAAACTGTTGCTCCACCATCACAACTTTACTTTTATTTCTATTAACGTTAACTATTTTAAATGTAAAATATACAGTATATTATTTTTACTAAGTAATTCAAGTTGAGCCATTGATCATGGACAGCAATCCAGCAATCCAATCCATATATATATATATATATATGTATATATATACTGTATATATATATATACAGATGATATATTAAATCGGAGTGTCTATTTACACTAAGTGCAAATAGCCCGCCTTGTTGGCAGAGGCTATTTATAGTAACTCCGCCCACCAACGTGTGATTGGGGTAGTCAACACTACAAAAGATGACCATCAATTATCAGCAGATGGTAAAATGTGTGTTGTAGCCTTTTGCCAAACTTTTTTTTCTCCCTTTTCAAATCTCATATCACAGCAGAAAGGCATTTATTTTCAGTGAAAATGAAGGAAATAATCAAACAGTTGAAAATAAAGTATCGGGTAGGGTTAGGGTATAGGGAAGGCTTTATTGTCCCTATAAGGTGGCATCCATTTAATAATATGAATTAACATTATAATTTACACTTTTTATTGCATACTGTTTTATAATGTACTGCAATATTGAGGTGCAGATTATTGCCACTATTTGTAATAAGTAGTAGGCTATAAATAGCAAAATCCTGCTATTTTTTTAACAGTGTAGGCCTAAATAGAATCTATTTGCACTTTACGTAAATAGCATATCGGGGAAGTCGTGGCCTAATGGTTAGAGAGTCGGACTCATAACCCAAAGGTTGTGGGTTCGAGTCTTGTTCCGGCAGGGATTGTAGGTGGGTAGGAGTGAATGTACAGCACTCTCTCCTACCTTAGGTGCCCTTGAACCCCCAACTGCTTTTTTTTTATTTTTTTAACAGTGTAGGCCAAAAATGGCTGCCCACTGCTCCGGGTGTGTGTTCATGGTGTGTGTGTGTTCACTGCTGTGTGTGTGCACTTTGGATGGGTTAAATGCAGAGCACTAATTCCAAGTATGGGTCACCACATGTCACGTCACTCACTCACTCACTCACTCACTATTTGCACTTAGTGTACAAATAGCATGTATTGCTATTCGTACTTAGTGTAAATTGACTCTGTCGCTATTTACATTTAGTGCAATATAGCCACTGCCATATTAAATACAGACTTTGGCTCAACAAGCTTGTATAGACTCCAGCATATACCAACAAGGAAAAGAAGTTTGGAGAATAAATGGATATTAAATACAGAATTTCCAATATGTTTAAAATGTATTTTATTAGAAAGACACCTGTATACAATTTCTTCATAAAGTGCTGTTATTGTCTTGGTTTTACTTTTATTTATGTAGGCATTTGTTGCCTATATTAGTTGTGCAACGTAAATCTGCCTCCAGGGCCAGACTGAACATAAACCACCATAATGTAGAGCAATAGTGTGCTGTGGCTTCGGTCCAAATCTTTCAGGATGCACTTTTCCTTCACTCATACAAGAACACATCCAATCTCTGTGAAGAGTAGGGGTTGGGGGAGGTGGAGGTTATGGGCCAATCTGTAGTCAGTCTTGGCTGGACCCAAACCAGTCCTCCTTCCTGGAGCCCCTGAAGGCTTGTGGGAAACATTAACATGGAGATTTTGACCAAACCTCCGGCCATGCATGGGGGTCATGAGTGCAACACATCACTGTATTTTTTAAAGCGGAACGGAAATCAGGATATCAATAACTAATAGACGTATGAAAATGTTATCTGTGGAATGTAGTTTAGATAAGAATAGGAAAAGTAGTAATGTTTGTCTGTGTGTGTGTTTTTCAGGAGGTGAAGGACCAGTCTTTCTCTGTGCTGGAAGGTAATGAAGTACGTTGGGTCATCACTGTTCCTGCGGTGTGGCGGCAACCAGCCAAGCAGTTCATGCGAGAAGCTGCATATTTGGTATAGGATTACTGATCTGAAATTACACATTCAAATTTCTTTCTCTTTTTTTCTCTTTCTCTCTTTCTTCTCTCATGCACACATACACAAATGCATACTCCCACATTGAACATTGTGTCCTGCAGCCCCCCAGTGAAGTTCAGGAAATGTGCGTATATGAAAAAGAATGCAAAAGTCACTGGACACATACAGTAAATGGGAATACTGAAAGACTTTTGTATGAGCGTGAGAGGTATAGTGTGCCAAGTGGGACCAATAACCTGATATCCATTTTATATATGTGTGTTTGCCTGTGTGAAATATACTGTATTGCAGAGCTGTAAATATCCCTATGAGCAAAACACTAAGAAATCAATCACAGAGATTATTTTTGGCACAATATGTACATCTCAGGCCATACAACAATCAACAGTGCAGGAATTGCCATAAAAGAACAAATACTGTTGATTCGATCACTACCAGCTGCTCAAACTCTAAGTCCACTGAAATCTCCTTGAATTTATGCCCAAACCAACCTACACCAGCTCTACATATTAAACAGGCTCATGTCAGAACAGTATTTGTTCTAGTAGCATCAGATCTTTATTTCTATATACCTTACTAGAGGTAAGGCAGGTTCATTTCCTCTTTGCAGTGTCACAGAGGTTAATCAACGCAAAAAAGACCAGCACACAAACACAGGAAACCACGCCTGTCCCAGCCAAGCAAGAGAGGGGGAATGAGGCAGCCCACCATCTCCCATCATAACTCCATGACCAACTGGGGCAGTTAACTGATACTTTCAAAATGTGTGGATACCTTTTCTTCTGTTACTTTGGTTACCTTGCTACCAGTTGTGCTCATTGCTTACAGGTTTTATGATAAAAATGTAAGTAGTACTTGCTCATAAAAAATTGTCAGTTGATGCTAGAGTGTAGTGGGTGGGTGCCAGGGTATTGTTATGCAGTTGCAAGGTGTTCTGAGTGTTGTTCGCAAATTATTACTTGGTTGCTAGAATGTTGTGGGTGGTTGCTAAGGCGTTGCTATGGTGTTTAATAACTGTCCCAAGTCAAAAGAGCCCAATAGTGCTTGCATCATCTGGTATGAACTTATATCAGTTGGTGTATTAGTGATGGGGATTTTTTTAGTAACGCTTTGTGCAGGTTACATCATCACACCAATAGGTGGCAATAAGTGTCTTTATGAGTGACTCGCTAAATTATTCAGTTACCAGATTTGTTCAAAACACGTATTCATTTGGAAAAGAAACAAGTGACTCTCTATATGAGTGAGTCATTGAATCACTCACTCAACCAATTTGTTTAAAACACTTATTCGTTTAGGAACAAAACACATTACTGTCTATATGAGTGAGTCAGTGAATTATTTACTCAACCAAATTGAAAACACTGATTCATTCAGGAACCAAAAAAGTGACTGTATCATTAAATCATTCAGTTAACTGATCTGTGACCCTCTCTGTGAAATCCAGGCTAAAGTCTCAAAATCTAATTCTGAGATAACAAGTATCAAAGTTTGATTTCAACCATGAATTACACTATGATTTCAATCTTTGACATGGTCTCAGTCAATATTAAAGATATCAGTGTTGCATTTTGACAGAATGTTCTTTACCTTATGAAGGATGGTTTTATGCAGAAAACAGTAAATCACAAAAAAAGAAGACTTTAGCTGGGTTTTCACAGCCAGGGTCATATGTATTCAAAACACTGATTCATTCAGGAACTAAACTCACCCTTGGAAACACTTGATACTGAACTGGTGTTTAGAATAAGTTACTCAATGTTAACTCAAACACTATTAATTAAAGCTAATCTTATCATAGGCAGGTTTGGTGACTCCAGATTCTCCTGAGCAGCTCCTCATAGCTCTGGAACCAGAGGCTGCATCCATCTACTGCAGGAAGCTCCGTCTACACCAGGTCATTGACCTCAGTCAACCACTAGTAACTAATGGTTTAGATGTGGACGGGTCCCGCCCTTTTGATTCCAGTTTTAGGCAAGGTAAGAAAAGTATTTTCTTATTCTCAACCAATTAGCATTATACAATATCACTAGCTCTTAGATTGATCCTGGGAAGGAGTCCAAATCTTTTGCTTTGAGTGTATAACGTTTCTCTATAAACATTAAATGGGAACCATGCCTAAAGCATAGTTAATACAGGATTGTTTTTCATCCTCTGAAAACAGAGTACTTTTTTGTTTTCTGTGGGTATGTGCGGGTTTATGCACAGAGTTTGCCAGATTAGGGTAAGACTCAGAACCAAGTGGGTCTTAGTGAGTATGAAAGCATGTGGTTTAGGTTAAGACAGAAAGAGAGAGATGACATTTTCTTGAAGGTGTGAGTGTCCCCCAAGGTCACAGAGCTGAAAAAACCTCTTTGAAGGATTGACACAGTTTTTCTTATCAGGGTTTGACAAAAGATAAAATGGTACTCTTTTACAAACACTCTTTTCACATTTATATACAAAAAATAAAATAAAATACTGTAGACACTATTATTCATTCCTGCTTTTACACTCAAACAAAATATACTTACACTCATACACACACATTTCACATCATAATTGGAACAAGGTGCTGCGGACCATGAGCTCACCCTCCTCTTCACTGCTTACACTAGTTTCCCTGGATGATTTCTTTTGTTCTTTCATTCTTTTTTGCATTTTTGCTTGCTTATTCAGAAGTATGTGAGCAAATGTACATTCCAAAATGTAACATGTTTTACAATTGGACAATGTTTACTGCCACAGGAAATCAAGGGACACAAACACACTTAAGCTTCTTTTCTTTTCTCTGTGAAATCCAGGCTAAAGTCTCAAAATCTAATTCTGAGATAACAAGTATCAAAGTTTGATTTCAACCATGAATTACACTATGATTTCAATCTTTGACATGGTCTCAGTCAATATTAAAGATATAAGTGTTGCATTTTGACAGAATGTTCTTTACCTTATGAAGGATGGTTTTATGCAGAAAACAGTAAATCACAAAAAAAAGAAGACTTTAGCTGGGTTTTCACAGCCAGGGTCATATGTATTCAAAACACTGATTCATTCAGGAACTAAACTCACCCTTGGAAACACTTGATACTGAACTGGTGTTTAGAATAAGTTACTCAATGTTAACTCAAACACTATTAATTAAAGCTAATCTTATCATAGGCAGGTTTGGTGACTCCAGATTCTCCTGAGCAGCTCCTCATAGCTCTGGAACCAGAGGCTGCATCCATCTACTGCAGGAAGCTCCGTCTACACCAGGTCATTGACCTCAGTCAACCACTAGTAACTAATGGTTTAGATGTGGACGGGTCCCGCCCTTTTGATTCCAGTTTTAGGCAAGGTAAGAAAAGTATTTTCTTATTCTCAACCAATTAGCATTATACAATATCACTAGCTCTTAGATTGATCCTGGGAAGGAGTCCAAATCTTTTGCTTTGAGTGTATAACGTTTCTCTATAAACATTAAATGGGAACCATGCCTAAAGCATAGTTAATACAGGATTGTTTTTCATCCTCTGAAAACAGAGTACTTTTTTGTTTTCTGTGGGTATGTGCGGGTTTATGCACAGAGTTTGCCAGATTAGGGTAAGACTCAGAACCAAGTGGGTCTTAGTGAGTATGAAAGCATGTGGTTTAGGTTAAGACAGAAAGAGAGAGATGACATTTTCTTGAAGGTGTGAGTGTCCCCCAAGGTCACAGAGCTGAAAAAACCTCTTTGAAGGATTGACACAGTTTTTCTTATCAGGGTTTGACAAAAGATAAAATGGTACTCTTTTACAAACACTCTTTTCACATTTATATACAAAAAATAAAATAAAATACTGTAGACACTATTATTCATTCCTGCTTTTACACTCAAACAAAATATACTTACACTCATACACACACATTTCACATCATAATTGGAACAAGGTGCTGCGGACCATGAGCTCACCCTCCTCTTCACTGCTTACACTAGTTTCCCTGGATGATTTCTTTTGTTCTTTCATTCTTTTTTGCATTTTTGCTTGCTTATTCAGAAGTATGTGAGCAAATGTACATTCCAAAATGTAACATGTTTTACAATTGGACAATGTTTACTGCCACAGGAAATCAAGGGACACAAACACACTTAAGCTTCTTTTCTTTTCTTCTTTTTTCTTTACACTTCTATGGAGGAAAGAAAAACTTTCTTAGATACCATGCCTTTTCATTGCTGCTTTTTATGTATTGATCTTAAAACTATAATGATACAAATGTGCCCATAGTTGAGTCTATTATCTTATAACCATAAAGGTTGATATTAATATGATGTTTATGCAAACAATCTGTATGAGTTAGTTTATTGATTAAATTTAGTTTAAAATTGTAAAGTGTTAGTAATTGTAAAGTCGAACAAAATAAAATTGTAAAGTTGTACTAACTCAATCTATGAGTTAGTTAACTTAAATGTCTTGAGGTAATTGGTTTCCACAAATGTTTGTCTGAACTTATTGGGTTTTACTGTGCCTGGGCACATTATTTATCCGTATCTGTTGTATCAAATCATATGGGTTTTAGAGTAATTAAAGTTCAAATTGGTTTGTTTTTACTTTTTCTTTCTGTCTTTGTCTTTGTCAAATGCTGTTTCATATTGTAATGGGTTCCAGATTGTCCCAAACGTGTGGTTAAATTTTCTCTTCTCTGTGTGTTTGGTGCAAGCTGTGGGAATGTAAGACAGCATGCCTTCCAGTGTTCACAGACTGTACCTGAAAAGAAATATTAGAAGTAATGCAGTCCATAAAAAGAGTTCTTCAGGAAAAATAGCAACCAGTATAGCCTTAGTAACCCCCAAAGTGAAGCAGAGATCATTTTTAGTTTAGCAGGTCTTTATTCACTAAAAGCACCCGCTATAAAACTACAGCCATGAAACAAGCCTGTTTTATTGGGTATAAGAGCAATATTTAAAGGAAATTGTGCTCACTTCTCAAAGATCATGTTTCATAAACAAAGGCTTTAGGTTCATTAAATCAGGGTCTGTTTAGCAGGCTGCTTTTTTATTATTGATCCAGGTAACTGCAATCTCTCCCTCTCTCTTTTGCTCAAGTTTCGAGTTTATTGGCTCTAATGTGATAAGGTTTTGATTTATGCTGATTATTGGGAATTGAGTGATTCACAGATTAAAGGAAAACAATCTGTCTTTCAGCACGCGAGCAGCTCCGCAGAGCCAGGCATAGCAGAACTTTTCTGGTGGAGAGTGGTACTGGAGAATTATGGTCTGAGATGCAGACAGGTGAGAGATGGAGATACACATCTAGCTATCATCATAGCTAGATCATCATCATCACTTCTATTATGTGTGTGTGTGTATATATATATATATATATATATATTCAGCTAATTTCTATGGATAGTAATTTTGTTCTCAGACATAGTTCGTTTGAAACAGACATCTTGATGCCCGTAGGACATATAGAGTGTCGATACTGTGACAAATTAAACATGAGGATGCTTTAATAAAGACATGTCTTTTTTATTTGTGATTCTTTGAAATAACCACAAATAGACCAGCAAAAAGATTTCAAACAGGCAAGCAAAATTGAATTCATAACAATACATCCCAAAGTAATAATTTCCAGCATTGTATTGTAATCTTCCATTCTTAAAATATGATTTCCCCCATCATCACACTTTCTTGTTCCTTATGTGTATATAATATTGTTTATATGACTCTTTATATGATAATTGCTTTGCATGTGTGTAAGAGACGCTCATTATGGAGCAATCATTGGTATGTTATTACTAGCTGAGCGCATGGCTGCAGTGTGTGTGCGTGCAGTGCTCTCTGCATGACTGGCACAATGACAAGGTGCTGGGTCAAAATAATCAGATCTTTAGCTCCAGATGTTTCCTGGAGAAAGAGGGATCGAGTTTATTACAATCTAACTCACACAATACTCAAAATACAGACCTCCTTTGCTTTCTCATAGTGTCTTGCAGTTCTTAATGGTGCACACATGTGTATCGACACACAAAGAGGAGGCCATTTCCCGTGAAACTGAGTTATTACACCACTGTAAACAAACAAGAAACACACATTCCTCTCTCTACTCCTGTGTAGTTGAGTAAAGTCAGTTGGCAGGAGCCAAGCTAAGCCACTCTTATCTCAGACTGTATCATCAATATCTGAAGGCTGTTTGGTAAAATATCTTCCTGACTGCAGCAGGTCAGAGAGAGAGAAGAACAAGGGTGTTATTTAAATAAGTCTTGTTACAGTCTATTAACAGTTACTAAGCAGGAAACCCATGACTGAATAAGTTTAACTGTGTGTATTCTCAAAGGTGACCGGTACATTGTGGCAGACTGTGGTGGTGGGACAGTGGATCTGACAGTGCATCAGATTGAGCAGCCACAGGGCTCTCTGAAGGAGCTTTACAAAGCCTCAGGTTAGTTGAGAACCAAATCTGACTCCTTCACACACACACACACACACACACACACAGCTACCTCCAATAAGACTTTCACCTCCAAATGATGCATGGCTAAAGTGAACAGTCATGAATAACCAAGTTCAATTCAGCCAAATAGGACATATTCCTGGATCAACTGCCCTCAAGCTGTCACTCCTCCTCCAAGCACACACTTAGGTGATGTAATGCAACATTGACTGCCAGGTAGTGTTTGCCATGATGTGTTTGTGTGGGATTGGTAAAAAGACACACCAAGGGCACATATAAGCACCCATCTGAAACCTAAGATCTCAAGTTCTTGTGGACTTCACAGACACACCCACCCAATGACATCTCAAGTACACATCATTGGGACAACAAACTTCAACCTATTGGATTCTACAGGTTTAGGGCAGGGTTGTCCAAACCTGTTCCAAGAAGGTCACCTTCCAGCAGAGTTTGGTTCCAGCCCTAATTAAACACACCTGGACCAGCTAATCAAAGTCTTCAGGATCACTAGAAACTTCCAAGATGGTGTGTTGTAGCTAATCTCTACATAAAATTGTCCCTCCAGGATCAGGATTGGACACCGCTTGTTTAGGGGAAACGTTAGGCTGTGTGCTCTGTGGTTGAGGGTTCAACCACTATTCTTATTAGTTTATCATTTCCCCTTGATTTTAGGGATAGTTAATGGTTAGAGTTGGTGTCAGGGTTAAGAATTGTTTTTTTCAAGACCTGTTGATCTAGGAGCACGTCCTAATAGGTAAAATCTTCAGAATGAAATCAAATCTGGTCAGTCTTGAGTGATGACTTTAGCCATGCCCTGTTATTTCACTCCAGAGGGTGAAGGACGTCCTGATTGATCATCAATCACTTATTCCAAAGGATATAGGAGATGAGCATACAAATCTAGTGGCATGTAGCTCTTTCCTAAATGATACATACATGTTTCCCTTTCAGGGGGTCCATATGGAGCAGTTGGTGTGGATCTTGCCTTTGAGGCCATGTTGTGCCAGATCTTTGGGGCTGACTTCATTGAGAGTTTTAAAGCTAAACGTCCAGCAGCTTGGGTGGACCTTACCATTGCATTTGAAGCCCGCAAGCGCACAGCGGCTCCTGGCCGGGCCAACTCATTAAACATCTCGCTGCCCTTTTCCTTCATTGACTTCTACAAGAGACACCGGGGGCAGAGTGTGGAGACTGCCCTGCGCAAGAGCAAGTACGTCTGACTGACTGAGAGCTTTATTATATCTTTGAAAATGTGAGTGTGTCTCTAACAATGTGTGATGTTTCTGTCAGTATGAATTTTATAAAGTGGTCATCTCAAGGGATGCTGAGGCTGTCTGCAGGACATATTCCTGGATCAACTGCCCTCAAGCTGTCACTCCTCCTCCAAGCACACACTTAGGTGATGTAATGCAACATTGACTGCCAGGTAATGTTTGCCATGATGTGTTTGTGTGGGATTGGTAAAAAGACACACCAAGGGCACATATAAGCACCCATCTGAAACCTAAGATCTCAAGTTCTTGTGGACTTCACAGACACACCCACCCAATGACATCTCAAGTACACATCATTGGGACAATAAACTTCAACCTATTGGATTCTACAGGTTCCAAGAAGGTCACCTTCCAGCAGAGTTTGGTTCCAGCCCTAATTAAACACACCTGGACCAGCTAATCAAAGTCTTCAGGATCACTAGAAACTTCCAAGATGGTGTGTTGTAGCTAATCTCTACATAAAATTGTCCCTCCAGGATCAGGATTGGACACCGCTTGTTTAGGGGAAACGTTAGGCTGTGTGCTCTGTGGTTGAGGGTTCAACCACTATTCTTATTAGTTTATCATTTCCCCTTGATTTTAGGGATAGTTAATGGTTAGAGTTGGTGTCAGGGTTAAGAATTGTTTTTTTCAAGACCTGTTGATCTAGGAGCACGTCCTAATAGGTAAAATCTTCAGAATGAAATCAAATCTGGTCAGTCTTGAGTGATGACTTTAGCCATGCCCTGTTATTTCACTCCAGAGGGTGAAGGACGTCCTGATTGATCATCAATCACTTATTCCAAAGGATATAGGAGATGAGCATACAAATCTAGTGGCATGTAGCTCTTTCCTAAATGATACATACATGTTTCTCTTTCAGGGGGTCCATATGGAGCAGTTGGTGTGGATCTTGCCTTTGAGGCCATGTTGTGCCAGATCTTTGGGGCTGACTTCATTGAGAGTTTTAAAGCTAAACGTCCAGCAGCTTGGGTGGACCTTACCATTGCATTTGAAGCCCGCAAGCGCACAGCGGCTCCTGGCCGGGCCAACTCATTAAACATCTCGCTGCCCTTTTCCTTCATTGACTTCTACAAGAGACACCGGGGGCAGAGTGTGGAGACTGCCCTGCGCAAGAGCAAGTACGTCTGACTGACTGAGAGCTTTATTATATCTTTGAAAATGTGAGTGTGTCTCTAACAATGTGTGATGTTTCTGTCAGTATGAATTTTATAAAGTGGTCATCTCAAGGGATGCTGAGGCTGTCTGCGGAAGCCATGAATGAGCTTTTCCAGCCGACCATCAACAACATCATAAAACATATTGGTGAGACACACCGTCTCTCAAACAAACACCAAACCGCAGATTGGTGGTCAATTCTCTAAAGTCTTATCGCTTTCTCTCACGCTAACAGAGAACCTGATGCAGAAGGAAGAAGTAAAGGGTGTGCGTTTTCTCTTCTTGGTTGGAGGATTTGCAGAGTCGCCCATGCTTCAACGCGCGGCACAAAATGCACTAGGGCGAAACTGCCGTATCATAATTCCACATGACGTAGGTCTAACCATCCTCAAGGGTGCAGTCCTGTTTGGTCTAGATCCCACTGTTGTCCGTGTACGCCGTTGCCCATTAACTTATGGTGTTGGGGTTTTGAACCGCTTTGTGGAAGGCCGACACCCTCGTGATAAGCTTCTCATAAAAGATGGCCGAGAATGGTGCACTGACATCCTGGACCGCTTTGTAAGTGTTGATCAATCGGTGGCCTTGGGAGAGGTGGTGAGGCGGAGCTACACTCCAGCAAGAATGGGACAAAGAAAGATCATCATCAACATCTACTGCAGTGACACTGATGACATAACCTACATTACCAACCCCGGGGTGAGGAAGTGTGGTGCCATCACGCTAGACCTGCTTGAGTCAGGGGCAGTGGCAGCTAGCGCTGGTGATAACGATAAAGGATCAGTGTTTGAACGCAGGGAGATTCGCACGACGATGCAGTTTGGAGACACTGAGATCAAAGTCACAGCTGTTGATGTGGCAACCGGCCAACTGGTGCGGGCATCAATTGATTTCCTGTCCAACTGATCCTATTGTGCCGTTTGAGAGAACTGTATTGCGAATGTGAAGGACATTTAACGACAGCTAATCTCATCAATTAATGCCTTAAATAATAGCTTTGAGGTTGAAGATCTGGATATCCAAGGATCGCAGATATAAAAACTGGAAGGCTGAATTATAAACCGGAACATTACTGGGATTCCCTGTAATTGTGCAAAGCACTAGCTATGAGGACTGTCTCTGAATTAAGTGTACTGTAAGCTTTGGATAAGAAAGATTCTAAATTAATAGCAATGAAAATTTCAGTTACATCATGTGCCACAGAAAAAAATAAATAACTAGAACTTTGGATGGGAACCGCATTTACTAGAATGATCAAATAAGCATACATTTAAATTTTTTTATTTGTTTCCTATTAGTTTAGTAACACAGAGGAGCTAGTTTTAGTTCAGTTACTCCTTGTGGTGATCATCACACATGCAGTAAGTAGACATTATATTCCTTCTAAGTTAGCAGACACTTAGTATTTTAATTATCAGATAAAGCCACTTAAGGTTTTTTTTGGTAAACATTCTCTATAACTATACACTAATCATTACAAACTTGTATCAGGACACTCTTAAGAATTTAAATTATAGTTGCGCCACCTGGAGGTAAGAAGAGGAAGTGATCAGCTAGAATGATGTTAAAAGGATAGTTAACAAATTAAGTTCAAAATTTCAGATTTCCTACAGAGGTACAAAAGAGGTAGTTACATTATGGAATGCAATTTGTAAAAAAAAAAATTATACCTGATTGTAATTGTAGTTTATTTGCTCTACAAAGAACCTGGTTGAGACATTTAGGTTTTGTTTTTTTTCCATTTCTTTTCAGGCACCATTAGAATAGCTAAAGCTTATGAAACACTACCTCTCAAGACTTTAAATTATTCCAGGTCTAAACTAAAAGTGATTATGACATTCATCATTGACATTTGAACTTTTAGTCTTTCATCTGCCTCATATGAGCAATGTTGTTGGCTTTTTACCCATCCAGGAGGTAAGAAAACTGTTGTAATTTTTAACACAAACCTGCTTCAAAGATGTTGGCAATATTACTATTAAGTATGCTGGACATCAGTCTGACATATGGGAATTAAGCTGGGCTTTAAATCACATCATACTGTTAGCATATAGTCCTACAATTTTGACTTTAGTTTAATACATACTATGAAGCTGTTTGTATACTAATCACAATGCCTGAAAATAAAATATATTTTCCTTTAGATGTTATAATGCTTAAGATATTAATTCTAATGTCTGAAGTCTCTTACCACTCATGACCAAAAGGTTAAATCACAAATAAAGAAATCACACACAAATGTTGAGAAGCAAAAGTACTGATTTTAATGGTCCAATAAATAGTTCCACTGAATGACCAACACAGGAACGTATGTCAGCAGAGTGCCTGCATATCAGTGCTTATACAGATCTACAAACTGATCACTCTTTATTTGAGTGTCTGTATGGTTTGTATGTGTTCTCAGACTTTCACAAAACAACATTCAAATCTCCAACTATCCAACAGATGATTCAATCCCTGGAACAATTAGCAAAAATGACATTTTATTCTGCTTTAGCCTTTGTTAACACACGGAAATGCTTGGATTTAGTGGGACCAGAAAGTAACAAAATGAGTCAAGGAAACAAATCAAGGCCCTATAAGTGGCCAGCATTTGTTTTGACCTTCTGAGTCAGTCCAGAGGCTCTGCCCAAGACACTATGGGGATGGGTGTGGATTAGTGGGCATGTGGCGGTCTACCACGACCTCTTCCTCTGCCAGCAGGGGCCGCTGGGCCGTCAGCAGTAGAGCGAGGGTTCTTGATGGTCTCATCCACTGAGAGGATGAGACACGCAGCTTCGGAGGCAGCGGTCAGGGCATTGATACGCACAACAGAGGGCTCCCATACACACGCCTGGAAGTTATCTGCTATATCTTCATTATTCACGTCCACTCCATACCACATACCACCCTAAGGAAAAGAGAGATCATGCAAATGGATTAATTATAACACTGACATTTAATTTAGATGATTTAATGAAAAATAAATAGGCATGACTTGTGTAAGTACCTGTGCATGCTTGGCCCTCAGTTTGTTTAGGATATTGGTAGCATCAAAGCCTGCGTTGTCACACAGCTGTCTGGGAATAATCTCCAGGGCTTTGGCATAGGCTCCGATCAGCAGCTGCTGCTTGCCTGGAATTGTTCTAGAGTAATCCCTCAGATACTTCGACAGCTCCATCTCAATAGCGCCACCTCCAGCAACAATAGAGTCATTCTGTCATGGGGAAATACATGTTCAGAACATGACTATATTTGTAGCGTTCAGCAAGGACTATGTCTGTTTTACTTTTAAAGGAGTCCTATTATTCTTTTTCACTGTTTGAATTTTAGTCAGTGTGTAGTGTGTATGTTTGGGCATTAAAAAGATCTACAAAGTTACAAATTTCAAAGTCCACTCCAAAGGGAGATATTTCGTTTTTCAAAAATCCCTTTTCAAGAACTACAACGAACTGTTAGTTTTGACTACAGCGTTGTTTTCCTGGTTTTGTGATGTCACAAAGCGGCCATTAGAATATTAAAATAATTCCCGCCTACGGAAATTCGAATGGTTGGGGGGTGGGGAAGGGCGAGGTCATGGATAGAATGCTTGGTTGAGTGCATCAGACAAGACGACGACGAAGAAGAAGTGCTGCTGTAGCTAGGGGTGTGCCGGTACGAGTATCGGTACCAAACGGTTCACAGGGTAAATTTCAAATTGAAGTGATCATCCCTATCCCCTTGGAGTGGGGACTTTGGAGTGAGCAGGGCACGTGTGTGCCATTATGTAATTGTTTGGAATGCACTTGGCAAAGGGAGCGACTTAATTTCCTCATTATCTTCAGCTGGCATGTTCCCGTGACAACACAGCACGGTGTCCGTCAGCAGATGTCGCTGTTTTACTGTAATAAATGTCTTTTTATTGTTGTTAGCATAACTGTTGCAAATAAACATACATTTTATATTTTAAAAAGTTTTTAAAATATGCTATATAATATATACAAACTAATCTATATAAAACTTTTTAAAATATAAAATGTAAATTTTTTTATGCCTTTTAAGCGCTGCGTTGTCACGGGAACATGCCAGCTGAAGATAATGAGGAAATTACGTTGCTCGCTTTGCCAAGAGCATTCCAAACGACTAATGGCATGCACGTGCCCTGCTCACTCCAAAGTCCCCACTCCAAGTGGATAGGGATGAGCACTTCCATTTGGAATTTACCCCGTGAACCGTTTGGTACCGATACTCGTACCAGCAAACCCCTAGCTGTAGCGTCAAGTTTTCACAAGTTATTACACATGCACCTGAATAATTATGTAAATATGTTAAAATTATGAAAACGTTTTTATAAACTGCTGACAGTACAATACTGGACAATGCTGTAATCTGCAGAATTTACACTTCAATTATGAGAATATAGTGTTTCTCATTCATTGATTTATTGGTGGCGCCCACCACAATATCAAAACTGACCACCACAAACAGATTTTCCAAAAGGCTTTGACTTCGTTGAATAAACATGAGAGCTGCACGGTTCAAAATCGAAACCCGGTGTGGGTGTTTTTATATCACTGTATTTCTGAAGGAAACCGAGTGTCTTCAGAAAATTTTGGATATCATTTTAATTTCATCTTGCATGTAATGCCTGATAAAGCAGCGTTTGTGAGCGGAGCGCTGTTTTGTGTACAGCCGTTACCGGGGAAATCTCTGTGTGAACCTCTGGAAAGTCTGTGGGAAACACTGCATCATGTTAGAAATAAAGAACAATAAATATAATACATATTACCGTTGCACTTATCTGTACATAGTAAACGCAGTATTTTTATGCGGCTGTTGAAATCGTATCTAAAATGTGATTTAGCCCAAAAAACAAAAACAACAATAACGTTACCACTCTAACATATCTTGCAATATCCGTGGGTGCAAAGGTTCTGCGCGATCCTCTTGTTCAATATTGTCGGGGTCTGAATCCGGTGTCCTGACATTTTATCCTACCCGTCAGATTTTCCTACCAGGGCTTACTGTGCATGCACACATCAATATTGCGTCCTTTTTATCATGCTGAACAACAATATTTAACGTATCTGCATTACTGTAAGGGTAAGTTTAGGGTTGGGGTAGGTGAAGACGTTAATAAAACAATCTAATACGTAGAAAAAAATTATTTATCGTTGGTTTCCGGTAGCTGTATCCCTTCTAGCCGCAACCGCGAATATAACACAATTACTGTATTTGCATTACTGTAAGGGTAGATTTAGGGTTGTGGTTGGTGTAGATGTTAATAAACCATAATTTTAGCATTTTTCGTAGTCGAATTGTACTACCCACCGTTTTCACAAATCAACAGAACACCGGCTCAAATTGATATGGCAGTATTAACGCCATCCTTAACTATACCGAAACAGACAGAACTTGCTGCTTTGGCAAGGGGCGTGGCAGTACTGAAACACTGTCTAAGGCGGGCCTTCATCAAACCCAGAACTAATCGAGCCATTTGTGCCAGGTTGGGGAGAAAGGTATTGTAATAATATAAATTATGTGAAAAATTACAGTGGGTACGGAAAGTATTCAGACCCCCTTAAATTTTTGAACCACCAAGCATGAGAGCATGTTCTAGCACACCCCAAAAGTCTTTTACAAGACTTTGTAAAAGAGCATAATAGGACCCCTTTAATAGCTAAAGAAACTTGTCTCCCCCTGCTGGCAGTTTTTTAAACATTCAGAAATTTCAGTGCATCATGATTATTCAGGACTAGAGTACTACTGTCCTATGTGATTCAGCTTACTATACATTAACACAACGTTTTCAGTCTTTGCCCACAAGGAATACTGGAAATCAAAGATAAAATAAATCTGTAGTTGTAGTCATTTGTAGCAAGAGATGAAGTTTTCCCCACCTTGATTGCTCTGCGCACAATCATGATGGCATCGTGCAGTGAGCGATCTGTTTCCTCCATGAACTGCTCTGCACCACCCCTCAGGATGATGGTGCAGGTCTTGGCCTTAGGGCAGCCTTTGAAGAAGTTGTATCTGTAGTGCAATACACACAGTTAAATTGTGTGTATGGAAAATATTTACGTGAAATCACTTATTAAAATCTCCAGTTTCATGGACATAATTACATTTTGTAGTTACATAGAAAAAAACATACCTTTCTCCTCCAACCTGCACTTCTTCAAAGAGCTCACACTGTCCAAGCACATCATCAGTCAGGGCACCGACACTGGTCTGAATAGAGCCACCACAGGCCTGGAGGAGACACTACAGCTGCTATAACTGCTACATGGATAACAACATATAATTACCACGTCCAACACAGTATTACGTGTGCATAAGAGATGATATATGGCATTAATTTACTCATGATAGCAGAATTACAACGCTAAATAAAACTGGACTATATTTAGCACAATATAAAAACAGACTGGAATCGAATCACAAAAGTACTGATATACAGCCAAAGCTAAATGACAGCATGAACACAGGATATCATCACACCATCATAGTTCTCTTAAGATCTTCCTCCACAACACGGCCTGCACAGAACAGATCTCTGTCTGCAAAGTATTGTGTAGCAACATCTCCAATGGGCAGCTTTGACAGCACCACTTTAGTGCCAGATTTGTAGATCTTCTCCAGCTTATCGTATAGGATGTTCCATTCAGCATCAACAATGGCCTGATAGTCCTGCAAACAGCCACATAAACATGTGGAAAAACAACTGAGTTTGGCCATGATGGATTATTGACATGAGAATCTCTGAAAATATGAATTTACAGACTTTGGGAATGGTTAGTGTCACTACAATAAAATGCTTATGGCTTAAGTTTTTCATCATTTGGTCTTACCAATCAAAGAGACAACCTGTGATGTTAACCCTTTCACGTGTGTGTTTCTAGCTATTCTAGCTGAGCACCCAGCATGAGTTTTTTTTAAGGCGACCATTATTTTAGAATGAATGGCCTTATAGTTTCCATGGCGACGCATCATGCTTGTAATGTGACACACCGCAGCCAAAATAGCGCTGTATGACACACGAACAACTTTTATTTTGTTTTTGCTTTTTTATTAAAAATATTCACAAACATGTTCACTATATAATAAAATATCTGATAATGTAAATGTATTTGGTAGTTTAAACACTTTTATAATGCGCATGTTAGTTGATCTATAGCGGGTGATGGGCGCCGCCATGTTAGTTCGCGCTGAATCCGAGCTGTGGGATTT